GGGATATGCGCTGCACCGTGCTTAGCTGCTCCTAATTCTACGTTCTCATGAGTACAAGGGGTGCTCAGCGTTACGAAAATTATAGAAGGGGTACACATGAGTCAAAAGTTTGGGAAAACACTGCTCTAGAGAATGCACCAGGAAAACAGGCCGTCAGAAGCTAAGATGCAGGCCTGCGTGTGGAAGAGCTGACGCTCACCGCGAACGTCCTCACGCCCATCCCCGTGACGCACAGGCACACGTCCGCACAGTCGGCAATGCCTTTCAGAAGCAGCGAGCGATGGTCCACCTCTCACGGCCTCTCTGCCCGTCCCTGCCAGGGCCCGGTTCCCCCTGCCGTGCCCGAGACTGACATGTCAACCCCCAATGGGACAGGATGTGGCAGGGACGGCTCCCCTGTGGGATGGGGTTGCTGGCTGCGCACAGACCTTCGCGGACGCCGTTCCGGTGGAATACGCAGATACAGCGTACCGGGCGCTGAGGCCTACACTCTCCCTAGCGAGCGCTCCAAAGCAATCCTGAAGCTCGTACAGAGATCAGAATGATGACACAACACCTTGGAATGTCTCTTCAAACCTATTATGTGTTGGCCAAAGAAAGAAAGAAAGAAAAGATTGATGATGATCCAGGGACCAAAGAACATAGCGGGCACAGCACACACCACCAAGGTCTGGGTACAAGGTGCCAGTTTGCGCCAAGGCGAGCGGCAGGATGTCCCCGCAGGCTGGCCCTCCGCGGGGACATCGGAGGCAGCCCTTCTGCCACTGTGGGCACACGGGCTCCTTCAATAGGCAGCTGCTTTGACCCCAGGCCTCAGGAAGGTGCTGGCAACAAGGACAGCTCCCAGCAAGAGGATGCCATCGCCGCCGCCGGCCGGTTTGGAGAAGCGGGGCCAAGAAGCCGCCCGGCCTTCCCGCGCGAGGAAGTATGATGGGGACAGCCTGCACCGCCCCGCGCCGCTCCTGACCACAGCAGGGAGAGGGAACGGCCCCTCGGGCTCTGACCCCGAGTTCAGACGGCCAGCGGCCTGCGTGAGGGGTGGGTAGGCGGACTCCAGCTCTCGGGACAGTGTCTTGCCCGCACAGGGGGGTGGGGGGTGGGCGTTGAATGGGATAGGATGGGGAGGGCAGCCAGGGGTCTGCTGGCAGCCTGTCTTAAAGGGCACGAGAGCCTGGCTGGCGTGGCTCGGTGATTTTGAGCGTCAACTCAGGAGGTCACGGTTTGATTCCTGGTCAAGGGCACAGGCCCGGGTGGTGGGCTTGATCCCCAGTGTGGGGCAAGGCGTGCAGAGGCAGCCGATCGATGATTCAATCTCATCATCGATGTTCCTCTCACTCTCGCCCCCCTCCAGGCCTCTATGAAATCAATAAAAATATATTTAAAAAATAAAGAGCAGGAGAATGCTGTCTTATCTGCCTGCTCCCCCACCCCCAACATCCCTTAAGACTAAGGCACGGAGCCTCCCTCGTCCTCACTTGCCTTCTACAGTCAACTTCCTACCATTGGTAACTTCTCCTCCTCCTCCTTGTCCTCTCCCATCTTTCATTTTCTCTTATTTCTCACGGGCTTTAGTCCTCCTTATTTCTAACAATTAAAAAAAAAAAAATGGGACCAGAACGCAGAATTCTTTTTAAGCTGAAAGGGACTCGAAGAATACCTCATATAACCTCTCACGTGACTCAGATGAGAAGTCTGATCCTCGGAGAGCTTAGCTGACGGGGCAGGGTCCCCTGGGTCACCCAGAGGGAAAGCCGGGACGCCAGTGCCCTTTCCATCCCCCCTCCTGCCTCCCCCGCCGGCCTGTGCTCTCGGCGTGACCGACGCGCTTGTGCTTCTAGGCCGAGCCCCGTGCAGCCCCCCGCGCTGTCAGCCCTCCTGTGGGTGGTGGTTTCTGCAGGGTTTTTAGCACCAAAGAGATCTGCACTGGAGTCGTCCGAAAGTGAGCATCGCGAGGGGCAGAGGCCCGCCCCTCGGAGCCCGGGAGGGCTGGGGGCCTTGTGAGGCCCGGGAGCCTCGTCTGGGGTGATTTGTGCGTTTTCTCTGCTGAGCGGAGGGAGCGGCGAGTCCAGGGTCTCTCCGCGGAGGGGGCTCAGTGAGCCTCCAAATCCCCCTCCCGGGTCAGGGCTGCGACCAGACGGCAGCGCGTGGTCTAAGTCCAAAGCAGGGGCCTGGAATGACCCCAGGCATGGCATCCTACTCCCGGTGGGCACCCGTCCAGGAGGGGGCCTGCAGGGGCCAACAGGAGCAGCCGGCAGCCGGCGGGACGCAGCCTCTCGGCACAGCCTGTCGGGCTGTGGGTGTCGGGAGGCAGTGGCCTGCTGAGGCCACGGGGGCCGAAGAGGGCGTCATTTCCGGACTCGTTCCACTACAGCAGGCGCTTTAAGAATAAATAAGGGAATAAATACGGGGAGCCGTGCCAGTGCTTTTCGGGCGCGTGGAGAGGCTGGGAGGGGCGAGGAGGCCAGAGGCGCCTGGGCCAGAAGCAGCCCCGGCTCCTGGGCCTCGGGATCGCTCTCAGGGATGAAGATGCGAGGGAGAGAAGGCGCCCACCCTTCCCCGCCCCCTTGGAGCCCAGCCCTGCCCAGGCCGATGGACCCTTAGAGGCAACTGCACCACCCACCCCCACCCCCTGCCCCCCGCCCCCACCGAGGCCTGGGTGGGCTGTCCGGAACTCCACGAGGGACTGAGAGAGACACCACAGTGACGGCACTTAGAATCCAATGGTTTAAGAGGTACATGGGGCCAGGGGTCAGCAAGCACACCCCTCCTCTTGCAGGTGGGGAAACTGAGTCATGGCACGATGAGTCCACTGCCCTGACTCGCTACAGGAGTACGCGCACCCCTCCCCCTACAGAGCCCCCGCCCCCTCCATTCCCAACACCCTCCCCACCTCCTTCCCGATCCAAACCTCTGGATGGTTTCACTTGCCAAGGCTCACAGGCCACCACGTAAAGCAGACGCCACACAGTCCTGCAAGGGCAGTAAGGGTGAGCTGCCCCTGCCCCTGCCCATGCCCGCCACCCTTTCCCTCTGCTCTCCCGGCAGGCAGCTGACAATTCCCCTCGGCCCCGGTGACCCGGTCCAGGCACACGTCGCCCTGAGCCACCAGCCCGAACCCTGCCTGCGCCTGCGTGCAGCCCTGCCAGCCCACAGCGCCCAGGGCCTCTGGTGGAGGGGTCCCTGCCACAGGACAGCAATGGGTCAACCCAAAGCGCTCCCCTCAAAAGCCCTCAGGGCTGGGCACCGGGCCCGAGGAAACCCCCAGCAAACGCAGCCCCGCCCCGCCCCAGCCCAGCCCAGCTGAGCAGCCGCTCCCACCCCTGCAGCCCACAGCCGAGCACAGCTCCTGTCTGTCTGAGTACAAACATGTTGGTCTAAAAAAAGAAGGGAATGGCGAACGCAGAAGTCAGTCCCGAGCTCTGCACGCAGGGCGGCCCACGCTGCAGGTGACCGGGTGCCTGTGAGGACGTCCCTCCGGCTGACAGGGCAGGGGCCAGGCCAGAGGCCCCCGGAGGCCCCGATGGGCAGCGACCAGTCCACCAGGTGGCTCTGTGCTTGGGGGGAGGTGGCTGGCGGGGCTGGCGGCGCGGAGGGTGCACCCTGGTCTCCCGGGCAGGAGGCTCTGTTGTCCCAGCTCTGAGGCCCTCAGTCCTTGGCAGCAGCGGCCGGAGGGCGGCAGGCAGGGGAGCAGGCGGCTCATCCTGTCCACGAGCAGGGCTCGTCCTCACCAGGATGCGGGGCCTGCGGCACTGGCCACGCACTGGCCTCCCCCAGAGGAGCCCCGCCCCCACCCCCACAGCCATCCTCAGCCCCTGCGCATCCACAGCAGCTCCCAGGCCGGCAGACGCATCAGTTCCTCCCGGGCCGGACGTGAGGCGCGAGCCCGGGGCCTGTGCAGCGGGCTCAGGAGACGCCCAGGAAGTGGGGCCAGGATCCGGGGGAAGCAGCGGGCCCCGAGGGGCACTTCCCATCAGGACTGACCACCGACAGAGACGAAGTCTCCTGCTGCCGAGGCCTCTGAATCCACGTGTGGAGACCCCGACACCCCGGAGGCCTGAGTGTGGGAGGCGGGCCGGGGAGTCCCTCTGGGAGGGAAAGGCAGGGCGGTGCCCGGAGGCGGGCCGAGGTCACGGCTCGTTCCCCGGTGGGTCTGTCCGTCCAGAGAGCCCACCGGTGCTTGGCGCTCCCAGGACAGAAGACAGCCCACCCCCCCCCAGGGCGTGGGTTACACTCGAGACGCTGTGGCCGCCGTGACTGTGCGTTCTTGCTGCTCTTTGCTCGGTGCGTGGGCACCATGGCCGGCTCCCGGGGGCATCCACTTTCCAGGATGGAGAAGAGTTGGGAAACTGTCTTGGAGGAGACGAAGGTCCCCGGAGAGGAAAGGCGTGGCCGGGGCAGATCCAGGCCCATGGTCCAGAGCAGGTCCTTGCTGGGCACGGCTGGTGCCATCCTGCCAGTTGGCGCGGGAGCCTGTGCAGGGCTGGAGGGCAGCCCCCTGTGCAGGGGGTCGGGGTCCGCCCAGCTCCTCCCGCGTCCCCCCTCTCTCTCTGTGCACGGCCCGGGTCCTCCGCCCGAAGAGCCGGGGCTGCGGAAGCACGGGCCGCCATTTAAGTCAAAGGGAACGTTAGTCTGTGTTCGTTAACGGTGACGGTTTTCTGAGCTGTCGCTGTGGTCTCGCGGTTTCTGTGTTAGCAGCTTCTCTCGGGATTAGAGAAGGGATCTCTCTGTAGATATAGATAGATAGTAGGTATATAAATATATATATTATATATATATTTTATATATATATATATATATATAGACGCCAACTGCCTTACAGGGTTTCTTCTTTCCTTTTTCAGTGTCGTGTGTGTAGCAGGCACTTGAGTTTATGTGAAGATGTTCGCTTCAGTCAAGGGCGGGGAAGGGGCTGTGAGGCGGAAGGAGGGCGTGTGAGGCTGGAGAGAGGAGGCAGCAGGCAAGGCGCCGTGGCCGTGGCCGTGGCCGTGGCCGCCGCGGGCCTAGCCCAGGATGTCCAGGTAGATGGGCGTGGCCTTGCCCAGCGCGTGGAGGATTTTGTAGATTTCCTTGATGTTTAGCCGCTGCTGCGGCTCCCGCTGCCAGCAGCCAAGCATCACGTCGTACACCTCCTTGGGGCAGACTCGGGGCCGCTCCAGCACGCGGCCTTGGGTGATGCACTCAATGACCTGGAAGAGCGGGGAGAACGAGGGCGTTACATCGGAGCTTCCCTGGCGGGTGCCCGTGGCACAGGCCGCGGGCGGGGCGGGAGACAGAGCAGAGGCGCTGGAGAGCCCGTGCGTGCGGGAGACGAGGGCGGGGACTGGCGTGGCATCGCAGGGGTGCCCGCAGGTGCTCCTGGCGCTCCGCCTCCTGGCTGGCCTTCCTGGATAGATCCTGAGGCACTCTCCTCTGACCTCTGCCCTCTGACCTTGCTCCTGAAGATGCTCCGGATGGCCGGCCACAGACACACTATTGGCTACCAGGCCGGCCTGGATGTCAGGGCATCCGCCGCCGCCGCCACTCGTACCCTCAGCCCAGGTTCTGTCTCTACGGGGCCACCAGACGGCCCGAGCTGTGCTCAGGGCACATGTCTGTGTGTGTGTGTGTGTGTGTGTGTGTGTGCGCGCCCACCCCCAGTCCCAACCCCAGGAAGAAAGCAGTAATTTTTGTAACAATGGGTTCTGACATTCACGCTTTTATTTTTTTTAAAGGATGTTAAACTGTTTTGTCCTATTTTAGACAATGCGTTCCGGACCCATTCAGCTTATAAACGATGAGAAGCCCTTGGTCACGTGGCCAGGGCCTACGGAAGCGCAGATGGACGCAGCTCCCACGGCTATTGGGACAGACTCCGATCCGAAAGGCCTGTGCGCCCGTCTCTGGGAAAGCAGAGCCACGGGGATGGACCCGCCTCGCCCGGGCTCATCGCCTCGGGGGACGGAGTCCCTCCTTGCCTACGAGCTGCACTGACTCCTGGGTCGGCCCGGCTCCAGGGCGGGCACCACAGAGCCGCCCCGACGGGCTTTGGGAGCAGAAGAGCCTGGTGACCTTGGCCCGAGCCTCCGGGACGTTCTAGAAGCTCACCCCTCTGAGACGCCGGCCAGTCCATCTCCGCCCCCCACGCGAACCCCCCGCCCTCTCTGTCCTGCGTCTCCCAGGTGTGTGTGCGGAAAGCGCTGAGCCACACAGAGCCGAGGCGCTGGGGAATTTAATGGGATCTGTATTCTTTAGGATTCCAGTCAGTGTTTGTTACCGCGTGAACAGTCAGCTTTCCTGTGTCCCGGGAACAACGCGGGCTCCGCCCTCCCGCCTCACGGCCGGCCCGGCCCAGCCCGGCGGCCCGGAGCCCTTGGGGCGCGGACGCTGGGCATCCTGAGCGGGGTGGCCCCACAAGGGGCACGGCCGGAGGCCTCGCAGTGGCTCTGCCAGCCTTGTTTCTTAGCCGAACAGTGGCGATGCTGAGAGCCGCGGAGCGGAGAGAACGTGACCTGCGTCTCAATCCAGAGATCTGATTTCACGCTCTCTGGGTAATTAGACCTCGTTTCCTACAGCTCTCCTCTCCTCCCACTCAAAGCTCTCCCTGCCCCTTCTCAGGCCTCCGTCTGCTCTCCTGGCTCCTCCTCCTGCGTCTGAGGCCTGGCCTGAGCTGGCTCCTGTCGGCCCCCCATCCCCCTCCCCCCGCCGAGGCCGCCCTGCGCCGGTACCTCCGTGTTGGAGAGCTGGAACCAGGGCTGCTTGCCGTAGGTGAAGATCTCCCAGAGGATGACCCCGAAGCTCCACACGTCGCTCTCGGTGGTGAACTTCCGGTACATGATGCTCTCGGGGGGCATCCAGCGGATGGGGAGCATGGTGTGACCTCCGACCTAGCGTGGGGGGGGGAGGAGGAAGGGAGACAGAGGCGCACAGAGGTGAGCCGATGGCCACTGGGTCCCGGCTCCCTGCACGCTTCCCACGGAGAGGGACCCGATGCACTTTATCCTGAGACAGACACCCTGCCTGCAACTGGCCGCAGAGGCCAGAGCAGAGTCTGAGGGAGGAGGCCCACGGGGCCACGAGAGGAAGCGCTTCCGGGAAGGAGGGGCCCCTGGCGCGAGGGATGAGGGGGGTCACCAGATGGTTTCGGGAGGAGGGACGGCGTCAGGATGTGGGGCTACGGGGCACCTCGCCGTGAGAGGAAGCCTGAGCGAGGGGTCAGGCATCCAAGCACTTGCCGGCCTCGGGTTGGACTCCGTGGCCAAGGTGCTCAAGACACAACACGGTCCCCGTGCGGCGAATATGCCTTTAATTTCTACACCACAACCCTGGTGTTCTCTCAGCACGACTTGGGACCCCATGTTTCCAGGGAAGGGGACGGCGAAGTCTGGAAGACCACACGCTGATAAGAAACCACAGGGACCACGAGAGAAGGGGCAGCAGCTCTTAGCAAGAGCTCAAAGGCCAGTGAGGGGCAAGTCTCCAAGCGGCCAAAGGAGGACAGCAGCCACGGGGGTGGGGGACTATGGATCTGAGAGTCTAGGGCAGCGGTCGGCAGACTCACGAGTCCGCAGAGCCGAATAGCAACAGGACAACCATGGAAATTTCTTTGGAGAGCCACCACGTTTTTTTTTTTTTAAAAACGTCAACTTCTTCTAACGCCACTTCTTCAACCTAGACGCGCCCAGGCCGTGGTGTTTTGTGGAAGAGCCGCACTCAAGGGGCCCGAGAGCCGCAGGTGGCTAGAGAGCCGCGGTTTGCCGACCGCTGCATCGGGGGGAATCCTCACGGCCCAGCAGCGTCCTGGCATTAGCATAAGCGAAGTCACAGCCAGCGCCTGCTTTAGAACTCGGGGGCTGCGTGCATCATAAGCAAAGGCAGCCCTACGAACGTGAGCTTGTGGCTGGGACACGAGGTTTGTTGTCAGGAAACTGATCGCCGCTGATAAAAGAGCTCTCTGCGAATTCCCGATGAACTATTACTCAGAAGAGCCGCCGCCGCCGCCGGCGTGGACCGGCTGCAGGAATCCTAATGATGAGCTTTTAAGGAAGGATGACTTACGGGGGAGATGGGCAATCTCGCCTCTCAAAAGAGAAATCATGTTTGCCTGGCCCCCTTGAAGTGACTTAGGAGATGAATGATGATTCGGATTTGCAGATGATGTTTTCGGCCTGGGATTTGATCAGTAAGATCGCCCCGTTTCAAGAGCAAAGACGGAAGGTGATGCTGCTTTCAGACAAGCCAAGACTCAGACTCTTGACCCTCACAGCCTTTTCAGAAAAGAGGTGGAGACACGGAAATTAATTGAGGGTGTGCTACAGAAAAGCAGAAAGGAGATGCTGGGATATACACTGACTTGGGACATAACAAACAGTGCGAAGCGAATTAGCCACACAAATGCAATTCAGAGCTAAACAATGGCTGCTAATTTGGTAGCAAAATGGGGTGCAATTACTAATAAAGGCTTCTATTAAACAGAGCCATAAAGTAAATAATGATGCTAATAATGGTAACAATGTTACCACTGCCACTATCAGCAATACTTACTTGGAATGAAACTTCTAGATAATTTCAGCCATAAGTGCATAGGAAATTAGGTGGAGAGATAATTAAAAGCCTGATAAAGTCTTTGTCCTTACAAGGGACCTAAAGGAAGCTCACAGCCAGTCATCAGATGTTGATTATAATGACTTAAATTTAAATGAGCTTGCTAAAATTTTAAAGTAGCTTCTAGAAGAATAGATATAAAACATGTAGCTTCCAAATCAATTTAGGAAAATAGAACAAAAAAATCCCACAAAACCTCTAATTAATAACAAAATCAGTACACAAAGGAATGGGATAGTGGTGAGTAGAAAGCACAAAATGAGAAAGTTTAAGTAATGTCACTAAAGACAAAAATCAAATGCATGTTCTGTATAAAAGACACAGCTAAGAGAAAGTACCAGAACATTTTAAAGATGAAAGAATGCATAAATACAAGAAACAATAAAAGGAAAGATGAATGTATGTTGACTATGGATTATTCCATGTACATTATAACAAATATTAAATAGATAATATATTGAAATTAAATGGATATATGAACAATTTCAGGATGCCAAGAATTACATGGCAACAAAATGATTTATAGCATATTTAAAGATGGTAAATCCACCATTACGATAATAATAAAGTTTTATGGTCCAATTAAGATAGCAACAAAAATGTATAACAAGTGAAACAGGTTATAAATAAAAGGGAACTGACACCTATAATTAGGATGGAAAAATAAAACCCTTCTTTTGAAAATTAACAGATCAGGAAGACAACACAAGTGGAGATGCGTTTCTAAAATGCAAATAGTGAATTGTCACTCCAAGATGTGGGTGCTGTGTGTTTTCAGGCCTCTCCAAGAGGTTCCATGTTGTTCTCAATGACCTAAAAAAACACGTGTCAACACCAATCGCGATGCTACATCTCAAAGGAAATCTGAAATGCCAAGGGAACAAAATGGTAAGCAACATAAAGTGGAAGCAAGAAACATTTACTGTACCAATAACATACGATAGAAATGGAGAGCAAGAGGGTAATTTTTAAAAGGCGCTCTTTGACCAGTGAAAAAGAACTCCGTTTGGTAAAGAAAACAATTGAAAATAAATTAAATAATAATAAGGTAACGGAGGGGCGGTGGAGGGGAGGGGACTTATAGCACTTAAGCACTTATTTCTAAAATAATTTAAAATAGATTTTAATTAAATAAGAATTCTACCTTAAAAAGGTAGCAAAGATGTACCAGGCAAATGTATGGAAAGCAGGAAAAAATAAATAATAAAACTATAATGAGGAATTATAACAAAACAAAGCAAACAATCAATGAAAAGGGTGAAGGAAAGCAGACTATAGCTACATAATCAATTGCTAATTCTTTCAAAAGTAATATAAACCTTTGCAAGGTTAATAAGGACATCAAGGACAAATGCAAAAATGTTAAAAACGAGGCAACAATAAAATATGAAGTATAGATGATGCCAAGATTGAGTTACTCAAAAATTTTAACTTTAAAAAAAGGTAAGAAATATAAAAACTTAAATACAAAACCAATTACAATTGCATTTAAAAAAAGAAGAAGCAGCTACACATTAAAAATATGTACAAGGACCAGATGGTCTTATGGATGAGTTTCTACTAGGATTTTCTATCCTATTGATACTTTTCCAAACCAAAACCAAAACAGGAAGTAAAAAGAACTCCCCAGACACACACTGTGGCTTGAATTCCCTGTTGACCCAATCAATCAAGCTTAGCAAGCAGACTTTAGCATATGAACACAGATACTATCTAGGTAACATATCTACATATGTGTAAAGCATCTCTGTTATGAATATAGACTTAAAAATCTGAATAAAATATGGTCTTTTTGAATCAGCAATAGATTATAATAATTCCATATTAGAACTCAACACATTTTATGTGCAAATAAAAGAATGCCTCAGTCTTTTTAAGAAACTATTTAATTTACTAAAGTATTAAAGATGAAAGGGGGAAAACTATTCTTTTCCAACACCTTTCCTGATTCAAAGCTCTAAGTTCAATGCTTTAGCTCTGTGTAACGCACTAAAGATCATACTGACTAATGCAACATCAGAACCGTAGAGGTCTCTTCTACCACTGATTTTTACCAACACTGTTCAGGTGAGGTACTAACAACGGAGACTATTTAAAAGGCAGAGTCAAGCCCTCGCCGGTGTGGCTCAGTGGGTAGAGCATCGGCCTGTGGACTGAAGGGTCCCAGGTTCCATTCTGGTGTAGGGCACTTGCCTGGGTTGTGGGCTTGATCCCCAGTAGGGGGCTTGCAGGAGGCAGCCAATTGGTGATTCTCTCTCATCACTGATGTTTTGATCTCTCTCTCCCTCTCCCTTCCTCTTTGAAATCAATATATTTATTTATTTTAAAGGCAGAGTCAAAACTGCCTTTGTCTGCATATGATATGACTGTTCAAGATGATTCACTAAAAAGCCATCACAACAATTATATGCTTTAGTAAGCTACCCAGGTGTAAAACGAACATCCAAAAATGAAACCATTCTCACATACACCAACAGCAACGACTTACTCCACAATTCAGTAGAAAATGAGGTTGCTTGTAGCAATAGCAACAGAACATTTAACGTTCCCAGGCTTACACCTTAGCAGGAAATATAGAAGGTCTAGCTGAGGGGAAGTGTCGGAAAACATAAAAGAAGATCTACACAATTAAGAGAGGCACGTCTTTTCCTAGGATGGGAAGAATCGGTATCATAAACCTCCCAAATCTCCCGTGCCTCACTCAAATTAATTTAAAAACTCAACACAAGCCAAATAACAATCCCAATGGAATGATGTGTGCGGATTGACACAATGATAGCAAAAGCCGTCGAGAGGAGGGAAGGCCTGGTAAAAACTGGGACACGCTGGAAAGAGAACAACAAGGGGCATTTGCTTGATCAGGCAGCAGAACGTGTTACCAAACCACAGCAATGCGTACACTGTGTTACTGGCGTAGAAACAGACAAATTTCATTGATCGATGGAACAAAACAGAGTCTGGGAGCAGACCCGTGTGTAAATAATTGGCATCCAATACATGAAATGATGGGTTAGTAAGCACACATCGGGACAATGAATTGTTCATTGAAAAAAGTACACTTAGATACCTACCTCACACCATATACAAAAATCATTTCCAGATGGATTAAAGAGCTAAACATAAAAAAAAAACACAAAACAATAATAATAATTAGAAGAAAACTTAAGAAAAGTATTTGTACAACTTTAGGAGAGGAAGACCTTCCTAAATAAGACACATGTTCAAGAAGCCATGAAGACTAGGACTTGGAGATACAACTTGTACAAGTAAATACTTTTTTTTTTTTTTACATGGCAACACTACAAAATAAACATAGCTAAAAGACAAATGACAGAGAAAATATCTGCAATATATACATATGTAACAGAGAATTAAAACCCATTATAAAGCAGCCCTTCACATTAGTTTAAGAAAGCAACCCAGGGGGGAAAACAAGGAAAGAGTGAGAGCAGACAACCCACAAAAAAGCTACAAATGACCACGAACACATGCAGAGATGCCAATCACAGCAACAGAGAGACACGTTTACTTGTTAATGTCACGTGAGCAAAGGTGGAAAGACCATCTGTCTGGGGCTGGGGAGCGTGTGAGGGAAGGGGGGCCCTCAAATGCCGCTTGCTCAGGTTAGGGCAGCCTTGTCTGGGGGACCTTTGGCAGAATCTGCCCGCACCGGGGATGTGACGTGGCCTCTGAACCGGCGCTTTCATTTCTAAGGGTCTTTCTTACACAAATCCTTGCTCCTGGAAGCAAACATCCTTGGTCGAAGATGGCAGTTTCACTGTTTGTAAGGGCAACGCGTTGTCACTAGACGTGGATGCGGTAGTTAAAAGGAGCATCGTGTGGTGATGGGGACTATGTTACATGAAAAAAACTCAAGACATCCAAAATCTGTATCAGCATTTTCATTCACGTAAAAATACATGTGCGCCTGTGTGTGCACAAGCAATGTATCACTAGCAACAATGTATGACTCTATGAGTGTACACAAGCAAACAATGTGTTAGTGGTAACAATGTATGACTCTATGAGTGTACACAAGCAAACAATGTATCACTAGCAACAATGTATGACTCTACGAGTGTACAGGAAAAGGTCCAGAAAGACAGCATTACATTACACCAGTAGTTTCCTCTAGAAAGGGGAGTGATGGTGAGCCCTGATTTAAAAAAAAAACAAAACAAAACAAAACAAAAAACCCCCTCATATTTTATTATGCATATTTCAAAATTTTATCTTGATCATGTATCATATATATAAATTTAAAAACAATGAAATGAATAAAGAGAACACATGGGACTTAATTTATTTAAGTTCTATCCAAAGATGATTTTTTTTTTTAAAGAAAGGTATGTTTGTGATCGAAGGTAGTAGAATGTTCTATTGTACCTGGGTTCTTGTTTTAAAAAACAGAAGTCAGGAATTTAGGGGCGTTTAATACAAAATTGTAAAGAACAGATTCCTCCCCATTGGTTCTTGGGTTGGCCCGTGGGATGGTTATAGACACGATGCAGAGTGAGAGGAGGAATGGAGGGAGCTGGTGTAAACTTCGATGAATGTACAGGCGTGAGATGGGTATGGATTGGCTGTCAATTCTCCCACCGAGGAGCAGTTATAGTGTGGGCGTGTTTTCTAAAACTGAGAACCTCTGTGGGCCAGCAATCTTTCTCAATTGCATTTGTATGTGCACGCAGACGCACGCATGCACACACACACACACACACACACAGACACACACCCCTACCTGCCACCCTCAAAGAGAAAGACCAATCTCTCATTCACTCTCAACCTCAGGAAAGAAAACCTCAAGTACAGAGACACTCCATGAAATATGGGCACAGTTGTCAAAAATAAATGTCTCAGGTGGCTGGGAAATAAATCGTTTTGCAGTCAGGTGGTTTGCAGTTCTTTTCAAACAACTGATCCAAAAGAATGATCAGCTGAGAGAAGATTAAAGAGACATTTTGGCAAGAGAGCCACAGGAGAGTTTAGGCAGGATCTAGAATACAGTTGCAGGAACCGAGGCACGTGTCAGTAACAACACCCGTTCCTTTCTCACATACTTGTCTCCTGTGAGTAACACTTCTCATGTCTGATATTTATAAAACTGAGAAGGAAACGGAATTGATCCGGAACCTTTCTTACTTTAGCAACAAATAATATTTATTAGTAAATACATGAAGTATTGGAAATATTATATACTTGTAACCTTTCATATTCATCAAATGTTGGCATATATACACACTATGTTGATCCACTGCCTGTTTCTGTATATTACTAATAATTGTAATGATAACTCAATCCAAAAGCTCTTAACATCCAGAAACTTATGGTTATTGGGCATTAAAAATTAAATTTAAATCTTCATACATACTTTTGTCATAGTAAATTATGACAGAGTGGCCAATAAAAGGCTTTCATGCATAGAAATATAACACATAAGGATAAAATTCGGTAGGGGAGCTGGAATGAAAATATAAATTCAAGAAGAAAAAGAAACCATGTAAAATTGTTTAAGGACTTGTTCATGTGTTTAATAGATGCTGTATCAGATTTTCTGGTAGTTAGAGTTTATTAGATACATTAAAAGAAATAATGTACCTTTAATGTCAATATTTGCTACTGGCAAGTGTTTTAAAATTATGTTGGAAATTTTAGATGGCAACTTAAAGCATGCAAGGGGCAGACATGCTTTTTAAAAAATATATATTTTTGTTGATTTCAGGAAGAAAGGGAGAGGGAGAGAGAGATAAACACCAACGGTGAGAGAGAATCATAAATCAGCTGCCTCCTGCATGCCCCACACTGGGGATCAAGCCTGCAACCTAGGCATGGCAGTGTGGCTCAGTGGTTGAGCGTCGACCTACGAACCAGGAGGTCTTGGTTCAATTCCCAGTCGGTGCACATGCCTGGGTTGGTGGCTTGATCTCCAGCAGGGGGAGTGCAGGAGGCAGCCGATCCATGATCCTCTCTCATCATGAATGTTTCTCTCTTCCTCTCCCCTTCTCTGAAATCAGTAAAAATATTTAAAATACCCACATATATACACAGTCCAGTCTGACGACGTTAAAATTTCGGTTGGGCCGTTTCCTGCTCTCCACCCTGATGCGCACAGGCTGAGGGTCGCCTGGCAGAACTCTGTTTCCCCTGTTTGTGGGAGGGTGCCCGGGGTGTATTCGGCTGCGTGCCTGTCTGACTTAGACCTACAGCATGTGTGTGTGTGTGTGTGTGTGTGTGTGTCTGTGCATGTGCGTGTGCGTGTGCGTAGTGCAGTCACAAACGCACGTCTGTCCATGGCTTCACGCAGTCACGAAATCCCGCGGATGCCACCTTCACACAGGGACCGAGGCTGTCTGCAGTGACATCAGACTCCTGACTCGTGTGCCTCTCTTCCTTCTCTGAACAAAGCAGGGCCAACTGCTGTGGAATCCGTGGAGACCTCGGCCCCAGGTCTGAGAGGTTCTGGGGATTCCTTGGAGGGGGAGGGGCAGAGGCAGCCCACGAAGCCCTCGCTGCAGCCCGCTCCCTCTGAGCAGGGCTCCCTGGCGGCTTCTGCAAAAGCAGCTGAGGAATGGCGGCTCCCCAGAAGGCAAGGGCTTGGATGAATCGCCCGTCGTGCTTGTCCCCAGCTCCCCCACTTGGTGCCACCTCTGCCGGAGCCAGCTCTGGGATGGAGGCCCCAGAGCGCATGCCTGTCACAGCGCCCTTCTGTCTCCCTGTGTGGGTCCCGTCTACACGCTGGCGCTCCTGACACCTCACTGTCCCCGTCGGCCCCGAGCAGTGCACTCCTTACTGAGCAGACGCTGCAGGTCAGAGACATCTTTTGGAAAATAACTCGGCCCTGTCTTCCTTTCGGAATGCCCAGAGGGGAGCCTCTCTCTGCTCTCCAGTCTCCTCGCGAAAACAAACGTCAGAGACGATACGGAAAGGGCCCGATTCGCACTCACTCAGCTCAGACGCACCATGGACCACCGGGCCTGGGACGGTCCTCGCACCCCGCGTGCTTGCTCAACGCTGACTGGGTAACAGGCAGCGGGAGAACAGGGCCTCCTGGCGCTGAATCTAGATTTGCAATTCATCCCAAGGACCCAGGCACTGCCAGGTTTCGGTTTAGATTCAGGCTGACTGAACCAAAATAAAATATTCCCTTTGAAACCTCTGGCTACCCCTCCCAGCACCGGGAGAAGGTTGGGGTTCTGAGACACAGGGTCCTGCACAGCCCGCCTCTATGGCAGCCCCGGGGGGCCCTGCTGGGAGGCTGCAGCCGCAGGTGGCTCCCTCTCTCTTCAAAACAGCCCTGGCTCCTGGCTTCCCCTTCAAGGTCAGACTGTAGAGGAGAGGACAGCTCTGCAGATGAACCCAGGAGAAAGTCTTAAAGGCAAAGCCAGTAATCAGCTGCATGAGCTTTTCCAAAGCATTCCTACTCTTGATATATATATATATATATGTGTGTGTGTGTGTGTGTGTGTGTGTGTGTGTGTGTGTGTATATATATATATATATATATATATATATATATATAATTTCTTGATTTCAGAGAGGAGACAGGGAGGGAGAGAGAGACATCAATGATGAGAATCGGATCAGCTGCCTCCTGCATGCCCCACAATGGGGATCGAGCCTGCAATCCGGATACGTGCCCTGACCGGGAATGGAACCATGACCTCCTCGTTCATAGGTCGATGCTCAACCACTGAGCCATGCCTTCCTACTCTTACACACATGCATGTCTCTAAGGGCACAGAAGGCACATCAGAGCACGTCACCTGTGATCTTGTTCCCAGTCAGGGAACAGGTAACAAAACTGGGGGGGGGGATCTATTTCTTGGAGTCACCAAGAGGTGGCGCCACATAAGGCTGGGGTGGGCGATACTGGGGGTAGCAGCCCTCATCTTCATTCACTTAGAACTCTGCTCCCTCCCACAGAGCGGCAGGAGATGCAGGGCGTGGAAGGCTTGTCTCCAGGAACAGGGACAGAGCACCACACCCCAGTGAGTGCTGAGGCGACGCCAGGAGGGAGGGAGCGAGGACTGAGTTCAAAGGCTGACAAGCCAAAGACCCAAGTGATCACTCTGACCACGCTGCATTCTCCCGCCCCCACTGGAAGAGGGCTCAC